GGGTTTCGAACAACATGAGGGTGAGTAATTAATGACAGAATTTTCATTTTTGGGTGAACTAGCCCTTTAAAGTCTGCTAAATTGGAACAACTAGCTTAATTTTGTACTTTAATTGGGCGGAAGGAGTGCTGAATTCCAACTAAAGATATACTGAAGTATATTTGATTGTGCTTAATATATTAATATATTATAATATATATGACTTTTTATTACCACATATGCAGTTTTTGATTTAACTTGTTCAATAAATGTTAGAGGACAGGACACTCGCTTCATCATCAGTGCAAGTTCCCAGAAATGTCTATAACATCAGATACATATTGTAGTTTCAAATTTACATTAGCAGAAGTGGTTTCTTGTTATATTGTCCGCCAGCTAAAAATCACACATCTGATCACTTAAAAAAGTAAAAACACACCTCTCCTCACTATGCCCTGAGTGAACAATGAATATACTAAAATGTATTTGAAACATATGCCAAACATATGTTGCTCGCAATATGCAGCTGGTACAGAATGCTGCTGCAAGGATGATAATGAATGCTATAAGCTGATCGTGTTACTCCCTTGTTAGCATCTTTAGGATGGCTACCAGTACAATTTAGGATACAGTGTAAGATTTTGATATATGTTTTTAAAACACTCCATGGAATGGTCCCAGAATACTTAGTTGAGCTTATTAAGCTCTACAGTCCAGGTGTAATATTAAGATCATCGAACAAGTTTCTCTTAACAATTCCCCGAGCGCGTCTCAAATTGAAGGGTGATCGTGCTTTCTCTATCGCTGGCCCAAGGCTGTCGAACAATCTGCCATTGGATGTTAGATCTTCCTTGACTCTTAATTGCTTTTAAGGATCGTTTAAAATCGTATTTGTATTCTCTGGCTTTTGGTATATTGATGTTTTCTTGTTTGTCTCATTGTCCTTCTGCTTTCCTTTGTAATGTACAGCACTTTGGAGCTACTGTGTAGCCTGTAAGGTGCTATATAAATAAATAAACGAACGAACGATATATTTATTTCATGCTAAGCATACTACTACATATTTATGTACTTAATAAAAATATCCTGCAATTGTACTTTTGGTTTACTAAACTGGTATACTTAAAGTCTGCTAAATTGGAAAAACTAATATTGTACTTAATGCACTTTAATTGTGCAGAAGTTGTGCTGAATTCCAACTAAAGATATACTGAAGTATATTTGATTGTGCTAAAGTGGAACTATTGCAAGTATACTTTAGGCACATTTAAATATCCTCCATTTAAAGACTGATATTATTCAAATATCATACAATCCTCATCAACAGTGACATTAACACACATTTTAGGCTTAATATTAAGAAATGTGTATTGTGCACAAGTACTCCAAATAAAGTTTAATTATAATTTTTATATTAGTAAGTCTTGAGTATGTCAGTATATATGTTAATAGATCTGAACTATATTTAGTATGAAATAAATATATTAATATATTAATATATTATAATATATATGACTTGTTATTACCACATATGCAGTTTTTGATTTAACTTGTTCAATAAATGTTAGAGGACAGGACACTCGCTTCATCATCAGTGCAAGTTCCCAGAAATGTCTATAACATCAGATACATATTGTAGTTTCAAATTTACATTAGCAGAAGTGGTCACAGATAAAAAAAAAAATATATATATATATATATATATACAAAACTATGATAATGCAAGTGTACATATTACAAATGAGCAACATCAGACATCTGCACTGACGCCACTCAAATCACTTGGAAATGGTTCATATCAGATATTCATAAGGCCAGTTCACCAGAACACTTGTACAGGAATCATGTGTCATCATGTTCTCGTAAATTTTGGATGTTCTTTCCCTGTGAGAGTAAAAGGAAATATTAATTAGTATATTGGTATTGGTTAAGTATTTATATACTGTAGCTGCTACAACATTTCTCACAGATATTCCAATAGATAAAAATATATAATGAAAATAAAACTCAGAAACATGATTCTGCTCTTTTCTTACCCCAAACTTTACGGTTCAAAGTTTGTCCCAGTAAGTACAGCAGCGCCAGCACAAGCATGTTAAAAAAGAAGAAGACGGTCAATCCTGAGCTGCTGAACAGCCCCAGTATAGGGTAAACCCAGATTCCCACCGTTAGATACACCCAAACCACCCTAAAAGAGAGGGAGAAAATGTATTAGTGTTGTTGGCAAATAGTTGCATAACTAGCACAGTCACCCACATAATCATAACTCACCATCCTAAGTAAGCAACACTAACAAATCCCAAAGCAGCCAAACCATTCTTTGTTTTAGGATAGATATGTGGCTCCACCAGGATCTCACCAAACACGATTGGGAGAACAAGAGTGTGCTATGAGTCAGGCATACAAAGTCATCGTATTTGTCAGTCTATGGATCAAAAGGTCAATTTAATTGTGAAGGAAGATTATTTAATTGACATTTTTTAGAATGTATCATACATTATAGAGAACAAACCATAGCATGATTCATCCATGGAGGGAAGAGGCTGTCCATTGAAGCTGGATAGACCAGTTGTCGATCATAGGCAAAAATCAGCCAAAACAGCAGAACTACAAACTTAAAACAATTAAAATAAATAAATAATAATAATAATAATAATATGCACACAATTGTAAAGTAACTACTTATTTAAGCTTGAAGAACTGATATGTATTCAATCTTATGCATTTGTATGCATTAAAAAAGCGTTATTACCATTAACCACCAGTAGATGGTGCACATTTATTGGTTACATTTCTATGCATTTCTGTTAAATCTAAATGTCTATCAAATCTAAATGTCTATCTAGAAGCAGCATTTAATGGGTTCTGACGGACTCTATTCAACAACAGTATGTGAAGATCTAGATCCACTTATCTTTGATTCTTGTAATATCCACATTTTTTTATATTGCTGTAGTTATTAACAAAAAAGTACCAAACAATCACAATTGGAGTACCATGGCAGCACTATGGTATTCTTTTAAAGACCTTTAAGTGCTGCCAAAGTACTTCGTATTGAATTTAATTTGAGCATACAAATTTGATTTGACCATTTATGGTTTGGTCTATTCTATTTTAAATCGGAAAGCATAATAGGAATAATGATCCTGACAACAATATTGAGCAACACTTGTTCAGACCCCTGAACTGTACACTCATGGGGAAAAGGTACAAAATCTGTCACTGAGGCGGTACACTTTTTAAAGGTAGACTACTAAAATGTAGACTTCATGTAGTAATTTTTACTCGATAGATATTAGGCTAATATGTACCTTTAAGGTATTAATATGTCTTTTAGGAGTAAATATAAAAGTGTACTTTTTGAAAAGGCACCGACCGCCCCATGAACCATGGACCTTTTTTTCTGAGAGTGTATACTAATTTAATCTCTAGATCACTGGCACAACGCACTCTTCACATGTGAAGCATATTAAAAACATGAAACAGTAGTAGCCTACATCAGTTTTGGCACCTGTTTTCTATTATAGCAGGGAAAAAAATATAATAAGTAATATCCAAACTCACCATTCCCACTGGAAACGCCAAGACAGAAAAGAGCAAGTCCTTGCAAAGGCAGAGAAGTGACATTTTGGAGCCTTTCCCCACAGGCTGAAAGTCATTCACAGATGCCAGTCCAAAAAACACTATCTGTAAGAACTGAGAAATGAAACATTTACAAGCAACCTCCAGTAGTGTGTCTATCAGAACAATTTTAAAAGTGTCCTCACAAGGGTGGCACCTTACCAGGTTTAAAAATGTGAGGTATTTCCAGGGTCCGCCATAGACAAACATCCCAGGTGGTATATCTGAATTTCGTTTTGCATAAACAGACTGAATGACAAAGATATACCAGCTGAAAGCAACTATGTGGTAATATTTCTTCAACATGCCAGTCATGTCTGCAGTCTTACAATCTGTTGCCGAAATACAAATTTCATCACCATGATCTGAGTTCTCCACTCAGCTGCAGGAGACTTTAAGAAATGCCAGGGGAACTCATTCGGATTTATGAGAATAAAGCTCATATTCAGAGATTAGCCTAAATTGACATGGTGTTATAAAAGTGCAAATACTCACAAAGGGCCTTGTGTTTTTCTGGTGTTATCATACATACGAAGTATTTTTTCTTCATTCCAAGCACAATTATGTAACACATTCTTAAATATCACAGGCTAAAAAAAAATATGTTCTGTAATTTGGTTTAATTTAAGCATAACTGCATGGCTCACATTTTTGCAGCATGACTCATAACCTGCCCGAGTAGCTAATTAAAGATCAGCGATGTCACATAAACACACTCAAACAAAGGTGAACAAACACCAAAGGTGATACTAACTACACAGTATTTGACCTGTTGTAACACGGTCTATAAGCCCCCATTTACTGTCATCATTTATCACGTTTCACCTGTTTTTTTTTTCTGTTCCACAGAAGAAAGTCACATAGGTTTGGAATGACGTGAAGGTAAATGATAACATCATTTTTATTTTTGAGTCAACTATCAATTTGTTCCCATATAAAACACCCATAATGGTACCAAAGGGGAATGATTACAGATTGAACAAAAAACAGACATTGTGTAAACTATTCTTTCATCAGAAGATTAATAAACACATTTTTTTCCGTCTGTGATAAATTCCTTCCCACTGAGCATTGTGTTTCATAACTGTTCCGACATAAGCAAATAACACACGTTTGAGATATTAATATTTGAAGAACATGTCTTATGTTCTAGTTTTATTTTAGTTTATATCAGTGTAGTATTACTCATTTTGCTCTAAACATGATTTAAACATACACATTTTGGAACAGGTGGGAACATGTAACAGACATTATTGGTTCTCTACACATGTAGCTTATGAGAACCTCCATCAAAAACAGATGCAAGCCTTAATACACTGACAAATGTTGACAAACAGATTTCACAATTTAAATAAATCAATATTTCATCCTAAATTCATAATATTGCACATTTTTGTATCGATTTGGTATATTGAGAAACTCCTTTTAGTAAAACGTGCTGCATGTTATCCTCATTAATATGTTACGTGGACTCAAAAACATGCTTTAGGAGTTTCCATTGTGCATCAACACCAACAGAATGTATTTTACAGTGCAATATCTTTGGTTTACACAATCAACTGATGGACTAGTAAACACTTAAATTAATCATCTAGTGGAATGCCCTTTTCTATTCTCTCGCCAGACCATATGACTGAACAATTTCGCATCCTGTGATCATTTTGCTCCAGCTCCACTTTGTTCCATGTTTTCCGTTTCCTGCTGCTCACTGCTTCAAGTTCACTACATAGAAAAATGTGTGGCCAGTTACTGATCCACTATGAAGTTCTTTCAGTGTTGGCTTTTAATATCAATGAAAAACATCTGGGCACAAAATACCAATATTAAATGAAAAAATAAAAAATACTTGGGAGAAAAGTTTAATGCTGTACTGAAACATGAACAATAGTCTGACTCTGTTAACATGTTGGAGCAGTATCAGAACGATGTTGGAGACTTTTAGAAAACCTGCTCCTTGCTCCTGGCAATATCATGCAACTCCTCCCCCACTCCACATCGCTCACATGCTCTGTCTCTGGCAGCTCCATTTTTAATGAACTCCTTGTTTTTGTTAGGTAAACAACTCTCTATTTACAGTATTTATAACAGATCATAATTTCTAGATATAGAACTCACAATAACTACACTAGATTTAGAAATGTGTTTCACAGCTCTATTATTTATATACACACTAAGAAATACCTGTCCTATCAAAAGCTTATTCCAGCTGGTAAAGTTCCTGTCATGCAGATCATCTGCATAGCTCGTTAAGCCCTGCAGGGATTTCCACTCTCTCAATATAGGCAGCACTCTTTGGTATAATCAGAAGTTATAAAACACTTTAATCCAAGTTTGTGCAGGTTCACAGTTATGAGGTAAGACTTTAAGAAAGAAAAGATCTGGCAAAATCGCTTCCCTCTTATTGTTCATCAGTGGAGCCCCTCTTCCAATTGGTTAATTCATGAGGCCTGTGAAAACACCAAATACAAATGCTTGAGTAATGTAAGGAAATGTGAATTTATATTTAAACACTGAACTTCAGTCTTTTGGATATTGTGCTTTGGACATTGAAACTATGCGACAGACAATATTTTCATACATTTTGAAATTGTATGAAAAAAATCCTACAACATACTTCAAAACGGCTGTAGACCTTCCTCTCTTTACGCATTTGCTCCATCTTTTGTAGTAACATCTCCCGCTCTTCTGGTGTAGTCTTCGAGGACCAAGACCTTCCTGAATAACTTGAGAACAATTTATCTGCAGAGCTAACCTCAGCCTTTTTGGCTTCATTGGGTGCAGCAAGAGTCTGCTTGGACAGGGAAGATCTGCTTTGGTTCTTTGCTGAAATTTGCTCTAAAAGAACTTTAGTGTCATCTCTAAGGTTGCTGCAAGAGATAACATTTGCAGTAGATGTCTGATGGGCAGACACAATCGATTTTGCATTCTCTGCAACAGAAGACTTATTTTCTGAATTACTGTGAACAGTCAAATGTGATTTTTCTGACACCTCGGCAATTTTAGTCACAGTGTTTTCTACCTCTGGTGTTGTTTGTTTAATTTTATCAACCCCGTTAGAGTCTATTGCTGTAGAAACTTCTATCTGAGGCCCTGCATCTATAGCTGAAGTATCATGACCCTGAGTTTGCTCTGTAATGGTGTCAGATTTCTGGCGCTCATCTGTTTTCTCAGGCTTTGAGTCTTTTTGACAGCTAGATTCCATAGGATTTGATGATAAACTAGATTGTAATTGTGTTATTCCCTGAGTTGAGTTGATCTCATCCGAGGACAGGCAAGGTTCTGGTGAACCTTGAGGCTGTGTTGAGCTCACCTCCATTGAATCAAGACTAGTTAAAGCACCATTGTCTGTGTCTTTTACTGTATGAGTTATACATGCTTGTGTTTGGTTTAGTTCCACTTGGCTATCACAAGGTGTAACAGTGTCAGATTGTGAATGTTCAGCTGGGGAACTTAAGTCTGTGATAACTGCATTTTGAGATATGCTATTGTCTTTTTGAGTAATGTTAGCCTCTAGAATGGGTATTAGTTTGCTAAAGGCTTCGGATAAGTTATCATCTTTTTTCTCATTCACACAGTCAGATTTTGTTGCAGTGATGTCTTGAAGGGATTCATTTTCTGTTTTAATAGGATGTTTGGAAGTGTCTGTCTCCATTTTGGTGGGATTTTGGGAAAATTCACTTTCTGTTATAGTGAGCTGCTGGGAAGAGTCAGTCTCTGTTGGAATGGACAGCTGGAAAGAGTCTGTGGCTGTTACAGTGTGTGTCTGGGAAGAGTCTGTCTCTTTTGCAGCGGGCTGCTGGGAGGAGTCGGTCTCTGTTGCAAAAGACTGCTGGAAGTAGTTTGTGGTTGTTGCAGCAGGCTGCTCGGAAGAGTCTGTGTCTGAAGAGTCTGTGACTCTAGCAGTGGGCTGTTGTGAAGAGTCTGTGTCTGTTACAGTGGAATGCTGAAAAGAATCTGTCTCTGTTGCAGAGGGCTGCTGGCAAGAGTCTGTGACTGTTGAAGTGGACTTCTGGGAAGTGTCTGTGACTGCTTCAGTGGGCTCAGGGGAAGAATCTGTTTCTGCTGCAGTGGATGTCTGGGAGGAGTCTGTGTCTGCTGCAGTGGGCTCTCGGGAAGAGTCTACCTCTGTTGCAATGGGCTGCTGGAAAGAGTCTGTGTCCTTTACAGTGGACTCTTGGGAAGAGTCTGTCTCTGTTGCAGCCGGCTGCTGGGAAGAGTCTGTGCCTGCTGAAGTGGACTTCTGGGAGGAGTCTGTGTCCGCTGCAGTGGGCCCTCTGGAAGAGTCTATCTCTGCTGCAGTGGGCTGCTGGGAAGAGTCTGTGTCTGAAGAGTCTGTGACTGTTGCAGTGGGTTGCTGGGACAAGTCTGTGTCTGAAGAGTCTGTGACTGTTCTAGTAGGCTGCTGGAAAGAGTCTGTGTCTGAAGAGTCTGTGACTATTGCAGTGGGCTTCTGGGAAGAGTCCGTGTCTGAAGAGTCTGTGACTGTTGCAGTGGGCTGCTGGGAAGAGTCTGTGTCTGAAGAGTCTGTGACTGTTGCAGTGGGCTGCTGGGAAGAGTCTGTGTCTGAAGAGTCTGTGACTGTTGCAGTGGGTTGCTGGGACGAGTCTGTGCCTGAAGAGTGGGCTGCTGGAAACAGTCTGTGTCTGAAGAGTCTGTGACTGTTACAGTGGGCTGCTGAGAAGAGTCTGTGTCTGAAGCGTCTGTGCCTGTTGAAGTGGACTCCTGGGAAGTGTCTGTGACTGCTGCAGTGGGCTCAGGGGAAGAATCTGTTTCTGCTGCAGTGGATGTCTGGGAGGAGTCTGTGTCTGCTGCAGTGGGCTCTCGGGAAGAGTCTACCTCTGTTGCAATGGGCTGCTGGAAAGAGTCTGTGTCTTTTACACTGGACTCTTGGGAAGAGTCTGTCTCTGTTGCAGCGGGCTGCTGGGAAGAGTCTGTGCCTGCTGAAGTGGATTTCTGGAAGGAGTCTGTGTCTGCTGCAGTGGGCCCTCTGGAAGAGTCTATCTCTGCTGCAGTGGGCTGCTGGGAAGAGTCTGTGGCTGAAGAGTCTGTGACTGTTGCAGTGGGTTGCTGGGACGAGTCTGTGCCTGAAGAGTCTGTGACTGTTGCAGTGGACTGCTGGGAAGAGTCTGTGTCTGAAGAGTCAGTGACTGTTGCAGTGGGCTGCTGGAAACAGTCTGTGTCTGAAGAGTCTGTGCCTGTTGAAGTGGACTTCTGGGAGGAGTCTTTGTCTGCTGCAGCCGGCTTCCTGGAAGAGCCTATCTCTTTTGCAGCGGGCTGCTGGGAAGAGTCTGTCACTGTTGCAGTTGGCTCCGGGGAGGAGTCTGTGACTGTTGCAGCAGGCTGCTGGGAAGAGTCTGGGATTGTTATAGTGGGCTGCTGGGTAGAACCTTTGGTTGTGGCAGTGGGCTGTTGAGAAGAGCCTGCCCCCAATAAAGGTAATTGTTTGGAATGTTCTGAGGAAAGGTCACTTTTTGTTGCAGTGTGGGACTGGGGAGTGTCTGCCTCTGATGCACTTAGCTCTTTGATGGTGTCTACCATTGATGCAGTGGACTGCTGAGAAGTGTCTGTCTCCATTGTGATAGGCTTTTGAGAAGAGTCTGTCTCCTTTGCAATGGGTTGCTGAGAAGAATCAGTGGCTGTTGCAGTGGGGTGTTGAGAAGAGTCTGTGGCTGTCACAGTGGGCTGCTGGGAGGAGTCTGTCTCCATTGCACCGGAATGTTGTGAAGAGGCTTCAGCAGAAGCATTTGGCTGCATGAAGGGTTGTGTACCGGATGCAGTGGGTTTTAGGGAATGTTTACTTTCTTTTGCCACGTGGTGTTGCATAGAGTCTTCCACAGATGCTGCAGACAGCTGAGAAGAGTGCATCTCTGCTGCAGTGAGGTGTTCTGAAGTGTCTGCCCCCACTGCAGGGGGATGTTTGGAAAAGTCTGAGGATACTGCAGAGTACTGTTGGGATGATTTATTTCTTGCTGTAGTAGGGTCTGTCTGCACTGCAGTGTGTTTTGCAGAGTATTCGCTTTCTGCTCCACTGGATTGTTGGCAATAGTCTGTCCTAGTTTTAATGGGGGGCTGAGAAGAGTCTTCTCCTGTCTCAGTAGGCTGTTGATAAGAGGCTGCTTTGATTGTAGTGAAGTGATATGACGATTCACTTTCTGCTGCAGTTGGCTGTTGGAAAGAATCAGTTTCTGTTGTAATAGGGACGTTTTGTGAAGTTCCACATTCTGTAGCAGTGGGGTGCAGGGAAAAGTCTTTCCTCACTGCAGTAGGCTGTTGAAAACAGTCTGTTTGAGATGCAGGAGTGTGGTGAGAATGGTCTGCCTCTGTTGAAGTAGATTTTTGTAAGGGTTCACTTTCTGTGGTAGTGGGTGGTATGGAAGAGTCCGCTTCCATTAAAGTATTCTGTTGAGAAGAGTTTTTCTCTGTTGCAGAGTGGTGTTGGGAATGCACATTTTGTGCTGTAGATGGTTCAGCCCCTACTGCGGTGAAGTGTCTAGAAAAATCTGCCCCAGTTTCACTGAGGTGTTGAGAAGAGTCTGCCTTTATTGCAGTGGGGTGTTCGGTGGAACTAATTCCAGTTGTAGAAAATGCTGGGGAGGGAACTGTATCTTTGTGGTCATTTGAAGGTACACAAGTATCTACAATTGCAAGGTTTGCTGCTGAATTAGAATCAAGAGGCAAAGTATCAGAACATGTGTTAGAAATATTGGGTAGGCTCTGTGAGTCTTTTGCAGATAGACTTCCCTCATTTGGAGTGGAGCATAGTGGTGACACACACTTTGTCTGTGGTAACTTTACAGGCAGACAACTCTCAGTCAGAAAGGCATGGGAGGGATCTGTTTCTTTAGGAATATGATATTGGTTGAGACCAGATTCTGTTAAGGTAGTATCTAATGCAACAGAATCTACTTGATTTTGTAAGGCACAGAGCGACTTTTGTGAAAAAATGTTTAAAATGGGGGGTGTCTGGTTTTTAGCTGTAGATACTGTTCTTGCCACTTCAACAGGTTTTAGAGCTTGATCAATGTCTCCCTTGAAATTTTTTAAAGTTGAGCCCGACTCTTTTGCAAGTTTTTTCTTAAATCTAATTTTTTCAGCATCAGTGGCTCTATGTAGGATGTCTTTACTCGATTCCTCACATTTGGTGTCTTTACAGGTTTCTTTGATCTCTGTTACTGTGGCAGGGGTATTTTTTGACTTGCGTGGAGTTTCTGGGGTCTTGAAAACAGGCCCTTTTTTATCTGCATCATTAGCTAAAGGTTTCTCTGGTAGAGTAAACTTTTGGGTGGCTTTCATCGGATTGCTCTGAGAAGCCCTTGCTGCTGCAAGCTTGCGTTTGGCTGCTAACTCTTTGAAATACCTCAGTCTATAGTCAGGGTCATTCATATCTATGAAAGAAGATGGCTTTTGCAATAAATTAGATGGACATTCATCCCTTTGGCTATTTTTTTCAGGAACTGTTTGAGGCAGGTCTTTTTCTTGCAGATCACCCTTTAATGAATTCTTTCGAATATTTTGGCAGGTTTCAACCTTATCTACATCAGAATTTTCACCCATTTTGTTCAGTTCATCCTCAGGTTGTGCAGACTCTGAGGTGGAGTTATCAAATGTGGCTGACTTTACAAAATTGCTCCACTGAAATGGTTGAAATGGAGAACCAGTCCTCCTTTTATCTAAGATTTGTGACACACGAGCTGAAAGTTTTGAAGCTTCATCCCCATCTTTTTCTCCAGCAGTATCTTTAATCTCTTCTGACGTATGCAACTCCAGATTTGAACTGAATATCAGCGAGTGTCTCAGTCTGGAACTCCTCTGGACAGGTCGGTTGGGTTTCCTTTTGAGGAACTCTTCGCTTATCCGGTTAGTCTCTTTAGGTTCTCTATTCTGCGTCTCCTCCGCTTTGTCACCCTCAGTGGTGCAAGAAGACTCTGAAGTTGATGCTGGTGTTGTTTTGATATTTATTTGTGATAAATCAGATGGAGGATTAGCTAAACTGTCAGGCACAATAGAATCATTTTGAATTTGGACAAACGTGGGATTTTCCCTAGGTGAAGGTATCCTGTTAAACTCTCTATTTCCTGGTCTAATTTCAGCACGTACAGGGCCACAAGGAGCTTCCTGCGTAAAACATGGAATGTCATCACATGCAGTGGATCCTTCAAGTTCAGCTAAATCCAGCTCTCCTGCATCATCATTTGCACTGAGGTATGAGCTGATCCTCCAGTCCCGCAGGCCTAGCTTTTGACTCACATCCTGTGGTTTGCGGTTTACATTGAGGAAACGTTTCTGTTCTGGCGGGTTTGGTTGTGTTGGGGAGGTCTGACATGTATAAGACTGTCCCATGCTATGTCTCTTGAGATTGGACTGCATATGTGGTAATACATTTCTTGGACCATGTCCTTCCTCCATAGCAGGTTGAGACTGCAGGTATCTTTGAATATGGTCATAAGGCCCAGGTGGTTCAGCCTCATCTCCCTCATGAGGGTAGACAGGCCCTGAAAACTGATCGATGTGTTGGCCTTGGCCTCTAAACCTTCCATACATGTCATAACCAGATTGTAATCCAGCTCCCTGGTAAATATGTGGTTCCCTTGCAAAGTGGCCGCCCTGCGGCATTGCTCCCTCCATGTACTGGTTTCCTCTCATTGTTGGATGATTTTGAGGAGGCATGTATTCATAATCAGGTATATTTCCGTAGCTATGTCTTTTGAAGCCAACCATTTCATTTGGTCCTCTCATTTGCCTTCCATGCTCTATAAATTGATGGTCCCCTCTATATTGCTGGGCAGCATGCAGGTTCATGTGCCTCTGAACTGAGGGATTTGCTTCTGGTGCACTGTGGATGGATTCACTCCTAAAGGGTAACATTTTGTAACCCAATTTCGTATGATCTTCTGTAGTACGTCCAGCCCATTCCATGCCCATAGTTGGATATTCTGTGTTGTAGTCGCTTTCAGGTTCACCAACATAGTGTGGCATATTTGCCAAAACATTTTCAACAACCAGTGGCTCTGAATGGGCAAAGAGAATCCGAAACTCTTCATCAAAGGTGGTTACAAGCTGTCCCAGAAATAGATGAGCAAGACAGCGATGTATCTTCTCAAAAGACCACATGAAGCTGCAACACAAAGTGAGAAAATATATTAATCAACACATATTAAATGACCACACCAAAAACACATATAAGGTATTTTTATGGTTTGCAAATAACTGTCAAAAGATTAAATGTACCTACCTATAGTTACCACTTAAAACAGCTCTGCAGTCTACCAGAATAAAGCGATCCATCATCTGACCTTTGAAGGTCTTTCCTGTTCTGCAGTAATAGGTACTACCAGACACGGTTCTTACCCGCATGAACTGCAAATGAAAAGTAAATAAATTAATTTGTACTAATTTAAAACAACCAAATATTAAGTGTCTTTTAAAGTGTACCATCTAATGGTAAAAACAGTAAAGTCTTAATAATGCTCACATATATTGTTCATACAAAGTACTCAAAATAAGTATGCAACAGTACTTTCCTGTTATTTCTATTATAGGAAATTATATTTCTATAATTTTTATGATATTTCTGTTTCATTAAAAAATAATGCTAAGGCCATTTGTCACGATCCATTCCCTGCTCACCACCAGAGGTTGCCACACACGCCACTCAGACTTTCACCCTGGACTCCATTTCTCAAGATCCCCTCTGATTACACCCTCACCTGTTGCCAATAACCTGGACACTATAAAGGTTGCACTCACTCACATACAGGTGCTCAGTATTGATTAGCCTAGCTGCCATACGAAGTGCTTCCTAGTATCCTGTTTCCTAGTCTTGTTCCTTGCCTTGTTGTTTTGACCCTAGCCTGTTTATCTCACCTCTGATCATTTGTTGCTTGCCTTTATCTATTAGTGATGCAAAGTCCGATTCATTTCCGCGAACCGGTTCTTTTCGGAATTCATTTCCGGGACCCGGTTCTTTTCGGACAGATCGACTCATTGAACCGGTTCAAAAAGCCGATTTATCAGTTCCTGACATCATCAAGCAGTACGTCTCTATGCATTTCTTTTCTAACAACTCAGTGCCATGTTGTATCAATGAAAAATTAAAATAAGTCATTTGTGTCAATGCATATTGAAAAATTCAAAAATAAAGTTATTTGTGTGAAAGCATAGTGCTGATTATTGCCATATAATTAACTTAAGTTAATGGTGTTTGTGGTCACAGTTTCATCCGTGGATCCTCAGATACGACTAACTGACCAATACTGACAAGCCTACAACTTGGATAAGATTCCTAAAAGTTTC